CTGGGCACAGTGCACTCTTACCAGATTCTCACTCACTGGGTATTGCATCTTCTTAGGGAATTCTCTCATTTTATGGAAGACTAAGAAGCAGACCACTGTTTCCAGATCTTGTGAGGCCGAATACAGAAGCATGGCTACCACAGTGTTGAACTTCAATGGATATACTACTTCTTTCTGATCTTCAACTTTCCGTCCCTTTGCCCATTCCTTTTGCTTGTGACAATAAAGCTGCCTTGCACATCACAGTCAATCCTCTCTTTCATGAACGCACCAAGCATTTAGATATTGACTGTCATGTGGTGCGCAACAAGTACAAGGAAGGGTTCATCTCACCCCAATACATCCCCTCCAAGTTGCAGCCAGCAGACTTGTTCACCAAAGTCTTGCATTCTCCACAATTTCATCATCTTTTATCCAAGCTGAGCATGTCTGATCTTTATGCTCCTTCTGCTCAGCTTGAGGGGGGGATCTACGAATTCAAAGGTACACTGCAAACACCATGCATTGATGAAGATGATCCTTGACCAGCTGGATCAACAGATGTTGTTGTTGAAAGTGTAAATAGGGACTGAATTGATTGTGTACAGGGACTAGATTGTACATGACTGTAAATATTAGTTCTTGGTTTGTAAATATTTTAGGTCAATTAGTCAACTAATCATTAGCAGGCTTTATTATTTGTTCATATGATTACCGCCTTTGTATCCTTATACTTAAATAAAATGCACAGTAGGCAAGAAATAATGCCCAAGAAATATTCAAAGACTACCGTCGAATCGATCTCGTCCGTCAGATGGAGTTGATATGATGTCAGCGACTTATTAGGGGTAAAAATGAGATTTACTAAATTCAGCATATTCCAATTTGAAAAAAAACGTATGCTTTCGAGGGAAGAAGAAAACCCCCAAACAAGAAAACGACGTGGTACAGCTCCGACATGAAAAAAGTAAAAAACTTGTGTTGTCTCTAGGTCTAGGGTGAAAATGAAAATTCAAAAATCATGATTCCCATTAATTTTAAGGAAAAAAAAAATAAAACGAAGTCTTTTGGTATAAATCCCCCTCCCACAAAACGATTTGACTCACCGCCCGATATATTAAAAATCCCAATTGACAATCGCTTCGTTCTCGTCTTCGGATTTGGGAACCAAGTATAGCTCGGAAAGAAAATCATCTGGCAAGACTTCTGCTTCCTCTATTAGAATGCAAAACGGCGTTTACGTGTTTGTATGAAGTCCACAACAATCAAAACAGTGTTTCCGGCTTCTGTTTAACCAAAAGCACTGCTGATTCTCTTCATTCCTCCACCCCTTTTGATCCCTGCGGCTTACTGCCAACAAAACTTCTTTTACGATTTGGCTCAGAATTCCAAAAATCTGACAGCCTCGAACATGAAGGACTCAGCACCGCTACCAATTTCTATTAAGGAAAGCCGCTAAAAATTTTGAGAACCACTGCTCTGGTTACGGGTCTCTAACTTCTATTATTCCCTCGAACTTGCATCAGTGTTTGTTTAACTATCGAGCACGCCGAGAAGCCGGAAAATACCAAGATTGTTTAAGATTTCACGTTAGAAGATTCTTTATCGAACTGACAGGTTTGAAATTTTTTTTTTTTTTTTTCCTTTTTGAGATTTGGGTTGTTATGGAATTTTTGGTTTGTTTGTGATGATTTTGTAATATAGCTGTGATTTGTTTCCTTTGGTGAGTACAGAGTTGGATTGAGATTCTGAAGATTGAAGTGAGGTTTCAGAGGAGATGTCTATGTAGATGGCAGAGCACTTCCATGTTCCAACTCTATGAAATTCTACACTAACTACCTTGGAGGTATCTAGTCTTGCCAGAGTTTTTGCATAAAAAACTACTATTTTTTTAAGATATCATCTGCTGTTTTTTGTTGTTTAAACTTCCTGTCTTAAGTTTACTTTATTTGGATTGTTGAGTACATGTAGCTCAAAAGCTTTGTTTGATTCGGACATTGCCAAATAACTAGATGAGATAAATTTAGTTTGAAGCAGTGGCTTGTTTCTGTGTATTTTACATGCTTTAGCTCCTGTATTTCTTTTCCTATGTGTAGTTCTGATCTAATGTACATCCTTTGCGAACATTGCTTCTGAGCATCTTCATAACATTCTTTATCAACTTTGTGTTGTCGTGACTTTTGGTTTCTAGAACAATAAATTTGCCTTTGGTCGCTGTTATTTGCAGATGGCATGTTGTAGCTGTTGAACTTGAAGACTCAAAAATTTTGGAGCTATACTACCGATGTTGGAAGTGCGGTCGTTTCGAGAAAAGGTAAAACTAGAAAACTAGAGGTGAAGCATTCTGATTTGGAATTATTGTGCTCTTTTGGGTTTTTTTTGATTAATTTTAAAAGAATTAGAAAAACAATAATGTATGGAGAATTTAAACCCACGATAATCTGTATTTTGGGGTTCGAAAAAGAAAAAAATGGCGTCCGAAATCCGAAGTGAAACCATAAGATTCCCGCTACGAAGGCAAACTTGTCTCATAAGTAGCGAGTGTGTTTAGCGTTTTCGGAGATGGATTTAAGACTATGAATTTTCTTTTATTAGCAGAACACCATCAAATCTCACAAATAGAACCACCCCAAGCTCTCTCTCTAGCTTTGCAACTTCCGCTTCGAAACCGGTAAAATCTATGGTTTATCCCATAATTAAGTGGTTACCATAGTTTTTGAGTTTTGAGTTTTTTATTCCGATTCTATAGTTTTTGAGTTTTTGTATTTTGGTTTATCGTGGTCGGTTTGCTTCTGTGCTTTTTTTAAAATTGAATAATTTTCTACTATTACTGTCTTATTATAGTTTTGAATCATGAGTGTTGAATAGCATAAATACTTTTTCTGTTTTAGAGATGTGTTAAATTCAATACTTAACTGTTAGTATTTCATGAAAACAGATTCCGTCTCCTCTAAAGTGCAATCCCGTTCTTCTGCAACTCTAGCAAAGAATTTTCTTCAAATTCAAGCTTCCATCCTCTTACGCAGGTAGTTTTCTATCCTCTATCCTAAGATATTATTATTGTTTTTATCCTTCTTGTTTAAGATTAATAGGGAGTTTGCTATTATCAGTTTGCTATAACTTGATGTGTTCAATTATGCGTCAACATTGGTAGTTGGCATTGATTACAACTTGGTTTGCGTAGTAGTCATTGACAGTTGGTATTGACTGTCATATATAACTTGGTTTTCTTGATTACAACTTTTCTCTTTTAATCAGACATGATAGTTGGCATTGATTAATTTAATCTGTTCTTGCTCTCTTGCTCAGAATCAACTGAGCTGCTTTTTGGACGTCTGACTAATAATGCTGATTTACATTAAAGCTTGTCTAAAGCACGATTTGTGTGTAGTTGTTGATTAAATAATTTCAACAACACCCGTGCAGTTTCTGCGTATGTCGTTGCTATTGTTGTTTTGATCATTTTCGTACTGACTAATTAATCATGAAGAATTATAATTACAAGAATGATTAAGTTTGATGACCTACTTCCCATTTTCATTCTCTGATTATTTTTGTGTCTTGTTGTGATTGTTTTGATGTGGTGTTGTTGCTCTTGTATGTTGCATCTCCTGCTTCTTTGTGTATCCGAAAATCAAGAATTATATATATAGTTTTTAGTTCAGATAAATCATGCGTGCAGAATACTATGTATACATATATACAGTAGTGTATTTCTTAGGCCTTATATTGTGTTAATGTTCTTTATTATTGTTTTTGTTTTTGAAATTGTATGGCAATGATATAGGCTAGAATAAAGCTTATCTGAATACGTGCAGTTTCCCCATATGTTGATGTAGGGAAGTGGCTGAAGAACAACCGAATCCATGGGTTCAGTTTCCATTGATGCATTCAAGTTGCAAGCTCAATTCCAGAGGAGATAGCTTCTTATGGTTTTTCTGTAAAAGCATCGAGTAGCACGGTAAAAGATTGATTCATTTTGAAAGAGCTAAAGTTTAAATAAGAACGCTGTTGTTTGCTGCTGCATCAGGCTAGCAGCAGCTTATATGCTGTTTTCTGGCCTGATCATTGATCGCTCGATTTGAAGATTGCATTAGTTAGGGGGTCCACAAATAGTTATCTTTTCGCAAGTTGAAAATAGTGATAGATAATCTATCCACAAATAGTGATATATGTTCCTTTGCACCTTTCTTTTTTTTTTTCCTTCCTGTTGATGGTGTCTATACTTTGATCCAATCAATCAATCCAATTTTGTTTCCGTAGGAATTTCATCCTCTAAAATTTTTAATCAATGATTATGTGTAGAGATTGCATAATCATAGTGCTTCACTTGGAAATTATGGTATCAACATCACATTTCATACTATTTTTACTCGATGAATAAGCGGCTACGAGGATGATGGCTATTGCTAAACTGTATTCACATTGGACAAGTATTTTGGTCCCACAAACACACACAAGTATTTTCCTTTCGATTTTCTTAGGATAATTTGTAATATTCATTTTTTTAAAACAAAACAATTTGGACAATATTCTAATGTTTTTTCTAGAAAAAAATAAAACACAATTGCTTCGCTTTTTTCCAGAAGCTATTAAGTTTGTTATGGAATGTGTAGTTGAAATTAACAATAACATTCTCAAATACAAAAATCGTAAAAAAAAAATCAACCGAAACACTGGTCGCGCAACGCGCGACACATATAAGACTAGTTTGTATATAATGCAGCACTTTACGTGCTAATAAAAAATGAAGAGATAATTTTCCAGAAACCGTCTTCTTCTTCTAACTGTCTATTCATGGATTCCTTCTTCCTTTCTATAAACCCTAGCTACCTTTAGATAAGATTTTAGAGGGTTGGAAAGGACTTAAAGGCGGAGATGTGACGGTGAAGATGTGGGTGAAAACTTTTAAACTTCATGAGAGGCAAACCCTGCATAGATGGCACTACAAACTTTTGGAGAACTTCAATGCATGCTAATCCTCTTCATCACTCATTGACTTTCATTTTATTTGTCCGAAAATGTCTAGCAAAACATTTTTGTTTCAGCATGAAATAAAGTTTCTCAAGTCTGGTAAATTAGCAACCTCTTGTTCCTACTTCCCAAGGTTGATTGCACATGCTCGTGATGATAACAGTGAGTTCTTGGGAGTTGTTTATGATCTTCAGCCATCAAATACGCTGTGTCATTTTGTTGATAAAGGTTTGTCTTCCAGCTATTGTGGACAAGAAAAAATAGCTGTGATATTAAATCTTTTATGATATTTAGTGGAAAGCCTATTCAGCCTAGTGTCAGTACATTAATGTTCTCATTGTCGATTTAAAACATTGAGAACCACCTATAATTTGCACATCTTCTGTAACAGAGATCATGTCTTTCATATGTTCACAGGAAATATCAATTTTTTATTTTTTTTGGTACCTCCACCGTCTCCTTTTCTGATCTTATTTTTGAATCTTCTATATGTGCACCCAGCGGAGTTTAAGTGGCTTGAAAGAATTAAGGTAGCAGTTGGACTTGCTCGTCTTCTTAGGTATCTGATTCATGAAGAGCCAAGATATTTGATCCGCGATCTTTCTGCTGCCCACATAATTCTTGACAAGGTTTAGTGTGGTGAATACGTTTTGGCCTTTGATTGGTTCGTTTCTGTTCTAAAGTTTATTTGTTTTTGCTATTTAGGATTGGAACCTTGTCCTGATCAACTATTTCATGTTGGATCTAAAGCAATGGATATCACAGAGCCAGATGCTCACTTGGATCGAGTTAATTTTGGATCATGGGGTTACATTGATTATGCTTCCTGTGGTACAGGTCAGTATTTTAATATTTGAGTAAAATGTTGAAATGGTCCCTTACATTTGCCCTTACTTGAATTTACGTCCCTTATATTAACATTTCAATATCGTAATCCCAAACATTATGTGGTCACACTTTTTTTATCTCATTTTACTGTTTCGACCACATTTCCGTCACACTTGATGTTGACCGGCCGTTAACTTGCAGGGGTCAGGGATATTTTCGTCCTTTCACGTAATTTGACCTTCCATCAAATTAAAATCATTAAAAATATTAAAAAAGTCATATTTTAAATTATTTAAATAATATTTATTAATTTAAAATATTATTATAATATTTTAAAATTTATATTCTTTAAAAAATAATTTTTTCATTTACCATTTATTTTAGGTGAAAAGTACACAGTAACTATTCTACATTTTAACCCCGGGCCCACAGTAAATTTACAATTTTACCGGGTTACAGTGAAAAATTTAAATTTAAATTTAAAAAAAAATTAAAAAAATTAAATTATGAAAAGTAAACAGTAATTATTCTACATTTTAACCCCGGGCCTACAGTAAATTTACAATTTTACCGGACTACAGTGAAAAATTTAAATTTCAAATTTTAAAAAAAAATTTTAATTATGAAAAATAAACAGTAATTATTCTACATTTTAACCCCGGGCCTATAGTAAATTTATAATTTTACCGAGCTACAGTGAAAATTTTAAATTTTAAATTTAAAAAAAAATAAAAAAAAATTTAAATTATGAAAAGTAAACAGTAATTATTTTATATTTTAACCTCGGATCCACAGTAAATTTATAATTTTACCGGGCTACAGTGAAAAATTTAAATTTCAAATTTAAAAAAAATTTAATTACATTTTAATCCCGGACCCACAGTAAATTTATAATTTTATCGGGCTACAGTGAAAAATTTAAATTTCAAATTTAAAAAAAAAAATTTAATTTAAATTTGAATTTTAAATTTTTCACTGTAGTCCGGTAAAATCGTAAATTTACTATGGGCCCGGGATTAAAATGTAGAATAATTACTGTTTACTTTTCACCTAAGATAAATGGTAAATGAAAAAATTATTTTCAAAAATATAAATTTTAAAATATTATAATAATATTTTAAATAAATAAATACTATTTAAATAATTTAAAATATGACTTTTTTAATATTTTTAATGATTTTAATTTGATGGAAGGTCAAATTACGTGAAAGGATGAAAATACCCCTGACACTGGCAAGTAAAAGGCCGGTCAACATCGAGTTGGACGGAAATGTGGTTGAAACAGTAAAATGGGACTAAAAAAGTGTGAACACATAATGTTTGGGATTACGATATTGAAATGTTAATGTAAGGGACGTAAATTCAAGTAAGGGCAAATGTAAGGGACCATTTCAATATTTTACTCTTAATGTTTATATTCCAAAATTCTGCTCAGAAATTGTGATGGATTTTTAGGAGATATCAAGGTCGCTGTGTCTGCCTTAAATAATTTGTATGTCAAGCTCAGGGACTTGATAAGTGTTAGGGACTATTTATTGCATATTACCTTACAGCAGAAGTTATCAATCACGCAATAACATGTAGTAATGTTTGTGCACATGGAATATCTAGAAGATCTCGTTTATCTTTCGAACCCATCATTGTATCTAAAGGTTCACTACTGTTTTACTATTTGATCATTCATATTTAGCCTTTGCGAACATTATAATGGATATGTGGTTTTGTTTTTAGAGCAATTATGGTGATGTATGCATATCTTTTTCCGAATGTTTGTTTAGGATACTTACTTTTGTGCCATTATCTTGGAATGTTTCTTTTTGTTGTTTTACTTTCTGCTACCTTACTCAACCTTTAAAAGTCCAATTCTTACGTAGGTTGTTGTTCTAATTCCTCTAAGTAGGAATCTACTAGGAAAGTTGCAACCACGACTTCTGTTATTTCTTTACTATCTTATGTAATTTGAATCTGCAGGTCTTTCAAGGGAATACTCAGATGTATTTGCTTTTGGCGTCATACTCTGTGAGCTTCTCTTCAAATGTAAGGTTGAGGAACATCCTGTCACTGGATGGGGTTCATATATCACGATGCTCATGAACTCTATCCCTTGGACACTATGCTGGGAGTATCGTTCGTTGACAAGAGTTTGAAAGGTCCTTATTTTATAGCTCCTGATGGCCCTAAAATCTCCAAGTTGGCGAGGCTTTGTGTGGATCTTGAACCTGCGATCCGGCCTAATATGCAGCAAGTCTCGAAGAGTTTGGAGGACCTCCAGGTTGTGAAAGATAACATTGAAATTTTTACTGGTTAGACATTATTTCTATGAGGGCTTTTTATGGTGCAGTTGTGCATTTATATAGTTATTTTGTGTGCTAGACTGATGACCTCTGGCTTGATGTTTTGTTGCGTTGTATATTGGCCTCACCTTCCATACATAAATCACCATGATCTGTCTCTGCATTTTACTTTTTGGGGTACATATTTTGGTTTGGTTTACTTTAGAATGTAATTTATTTCTTCAAAATCAAAATTTATTAGGAATAAGTCACGCGTAGTACGACTCTAATTGATCTTCACTTTTGAATCAGTTAAGAGTGTTTGATGAATGTAATAGGTTATTTTAATTAAAGTTACTGTATTATTTAAACACAGTTACATATCACCATAAAAAATGATTTCACTAAAAAAATTTTCTGAAAAGAGGTACATTTTGTTTGTTATTCAAGTTTCCAAACTCCATGCATATTTTATCTAGTTCCTTCTAAAATAATTAAGCCAGAGTTCATTCTAAACCGCATTGAACCACCTATAAACAGAGATACTCAATAAGGGGTTCAAGATTCCGGGTGAAAATACTCTCTTCATCTAGACTTAAAAACTGTTTCAAGTATTTTCTTAGTACAAAGACGAATAATCTGCTACGAAGCTCTCATTTTGTTAGTAGGAAGATCTATGATCCTATCAAAATGAAGACACAAAAACTGGGAGCACAAATTGCAGGACCATCATAATGTAAATGTATGCCAATTAAACAGAATTTAATCAGCAAAGCTATAAAACAATCAGATACTCTTTCTTTTTAGCTTCTTTCCTCCAACTATAAGCTATTCTATATGATGATGACTTTCAACTTGATTGCCACCCTTACTTCGAGAAAAAAGCCGCGTAAAGTTATTCCTACCCTGGGATCCAGTTATATTGTTAGCAGATGAATTTGATGAAGATGATGATGATGTCGGTGATTCTCCTCCGGCACCATTTTTTGAAAGACTGGTAAGATTCCCGGGCTTGCTGGAAGTGCCTGATTCACTCTTTAACCTATTAAATTCAGAACTTGAAACAGGAACCAGATGCTTGTTCCCAGAAAATCCTGGTAGATTTGAAGTGTCTATCAGGAAGTCTTCCAAGGTTGCGAGCGACTTTAGTTGCCTTCCCAGGGATGCAATTGTTTGCTGGCACTCTGCAAGTTTATCAGCTGCTACTACTAAGTCCTCCTGTAGAACACATTTCAGATTGAACAAGAGATGAGCCACAAATTGATGCTACAAACTAGTTGATTGTCTTAAGATTCAGGAGAATAGCCCTTATCAGATCATTCTTCTGGCGCGGGAAAAAAAAGAAACCTCACTAACAAATTTTCTTTATATCGCTGTTAAGTCTTTTAGGTGAATAATGAACGGAAAACAGAATGTGCAACTGTGTAGAGAACCAACCTGCTTTATTTTCAAATCACTATTGGCATTTGCTGTTTGCTGGAGCACAATCTCTTCAGACTTTCTCAAAAGCTCCTTCTCTAAGTCTTCACATTTTACTGCCATTTCAGATGCAAAAGTTTTCTCCTTCTGAACTTCAATAGTTAGGGTATCAACATTAGCTTTGAGACTTCGGGCTTCAACTTCAATCCCTATAAGTTGAAACTCGAGAAGTTCTTTTGCTTCGCTTACGAGTTGAAGCTCTTTCTGCAAATCTTTCAGGCGGATTTCAGTTTCTGTCAATTGTGCTTGCGATGCCATAAGTGAATCTTTGCTCTCACTCAACTCATGCTCCAACTGTTTCTTTTCTTCTTCTATGCTTCCCATTCTCTCTTGTAGTTCTGTTTTTTCTACTTCTGTCGTTCCCAGTCTCTCTTCTAGTTCAGTTTTTTCTTCTTCTATCAATCCCAGTCTTTCCTCTAGTTCCGTTTTTTCTTCTTCTATTGTTCCCAGTCTCTCTTCTAGTTCATTTTTTTCTTCTTCTATCATTCCCAGTCTCTCCTCAAGATTGGACAATCGATGGATCATGGTTTCAAGCTCCCCTTTTGAGTGTTTCTCAATACTCAACTCATCTGCGGTTGTTTCTGATTCAACATATTTGTGTCCATTTTGAGGCTGTGGTGATGCAACAAGTCGCTCCATTTCAAGAAAATCGTCCATCATATCAATTTTAGCAGATGACCCTAGAAAATCCTTTGACTTGACTTTGTCATTCTTAAATTGATCCAATTCAGCAATCAAAGCTGATGCCCATGAATCAGAATGGTTTCTTTCAAACTCATTAGGCTCCAATTTGCTCAACTTGTGGGCACTAGCATCTTTCATTATGATGATATGGTCTACACTGTCTGTTTGACTTCCAGTAACAGACTCAGCAGAAACAGATGAAGCTGCAGACTTATTGTTGCTGGTTGTTGATAATTTTCGAATAACACTTTGCAGCCTTCTGCACTCAGCTGCAAGCCTGGCTATCTTTTTTATGCTTTCAAGTTGCTGCTTGCTAGCTGCTTCTGCAGCTTGTGTGCTCAAGTCCCTCTCAATTGTCCTTTTCTGTAGCTCTTCATTGTGGAAGTCAAGTTCAAACTTAAGAACTGAGTTTTCTTTCTCCAAAAAGTCCATCTTCTGTAGAATTTCTGGATCTACAAATGTAGAATTTTGAGCAACTGAAGCCTGTATATTTGTCTCAAGCTGCAAAATCTGGTTCTCAAGCTGGGCCTTTATTGTTTCGAATTCACTACTTTTCTGAGCTACAGCATCTTGAATCTTTTGTTCCTGCTCATCTTTTGCTTGTCTTAATTGCCTGACGCATTCCTTCAGAGCACAATCCAGATGGTTCACCCGAACTTCTAGAGCCAAATTCTGCTGCACAGCTGTATCAAGCTGCTGCTTTAAAATTGTTGCTTCATTTTCAGCCTTTTCCCAGCCTGTTGATTGGACCATTGTTATTCAGAAAACATCGACAAAATATACAATAGCAGATGTTCAGCAAGGTACAGACCAACTAATATAATCAGATCTTACATGTTTTATAAAAAAAATATATAATAATAATAATAATAATAGGACACAGTATATCCTATCAGCTAAAACTTTGCAATTTAGGATGAAAAAGTGATATATAGCATGGAAGGTGAACATCTACCCGCTACAGCTTCTTCAGCTACTTTGGCATGTTGCTTAACCAGGTCTTCTTTCACACTGACATTCACAAGCGCAGCTGATAACTTTGCCGTGAGATTCTTTACACTCTCTGCAACCTCATCGTCAGAAATTAAAACTTTGGAGGTGACTTCTGGTGATTCAATGCTATGATTTGGATAGCTCTTGACTTCTTCCTGGTCAAATTAACCAGATGAATCTAAGTAAACTTTAAAGACAAACAAAAGGTTAAACGCTAGAACCAAAATATTCAAATAACCAAGGTTAAAAGTTAAAACTTGATTTTCACCAACTGGTACAATGTCGTTGGAAATGACACAGGCGATCCATCCAGATCGCACAAATTGGAAATATCATTTTATTGCACGTATCAAATAAATTTGCTGGTATGTGAATACTTCACCAAAAAACAAAGAAAAGAAAACTTTGCAAAAGCATAAAGTATGAGTTCTCTGGTTCATGAAGACAATTTTGGTGTTTTTAACAGCTCGATACCTAGTTGCTATGGTTGAAAGCAGGAGAGACGGCCGAAAGACAATCCACAAAAAGACTAAAGATATGTACCAGCCATGTGCAGCGCTTCTGTAAAGAACTCATGGTCATGGAATGCGGTAGGTTAACTCCAATACATACCAAAACATGGAATAATTGACTTGTGATTATGTCAAAAATACATCATGATGTTTGCATCTAAACCAAAAGTCTAGATATTTTACACAATTTCAGAAACTACTTAAAATTTTGTTTATTTCAGAAACATCCCTGTAAAGATCACCCTCCTTAGTCTACCCCAATAAATGATTTGTTGAAGCATATAGATTAAATGGTATGGACAATTTCATTTACACATTTAGTAGCAAATACTTTTGTCCATGCCAGGGGGACTGATCTTCCGGAAAAATATCTGAGCATAATATATGCCAGAAAAAATTTATTGTCATGTAAATAAATAAGTGATACGAGACTATGATATTCTTTTCCTAATAATACGTATCAAATGAGTCATGAGAAGTTCCTCACGAAATATTTACGACTTTTAGTCTTTTTATACGAGTCAATTTTAGTTGGTGCTGGCACTTCTGCAAAAAGTAATAACTACTGCAAGTAAGCACCTTCCTTAGGACTCCATAAATATTCCACAGAGAAATCAATGGTCAGCGTTGAGACAGAACTTGAAATGTTCCAGATATATACTCCTAAATTTCATGATATGGCAACAGCTTTCTATTAGTGATTAGTATTATGATGGTGGAAGGGGAAGGAGAGTGACTAATCCATCATATAAACAGATTATCAAGAGCATGCATATTAGTTTGGACTTTGGAGCAAGGTTTGGGAGCCTTGAAAAACAATGAACAACTGGTTTTTGAGGTTCATGATAATGAAAACCATTTCAGCTAGTGGCTGCTAATGTAATGGTGGTAGGCGTGGAAGAATAATTAGTCCACAATAGATTCTTATTATATTAACCTCACCATTTTTCGTAATTGGGAGGAAGGTTTAATGGAAAGGGACATCGTAAAGGTACAGCAATCATGAATATAATCCTATATTTTAGAAGCCCAAGCATTACTACTTATATTATTGACATATGCCTGCTTCAAGGATCAATGAACAAAAAGAATGACAAGGACTCGGCCAACTATTCGACTATTTGCAATTTCAGTAGACCTAGCATGACTAGATGCGTTTCCAGAAAATAAAAAAGCAAGCCTAGATCTCAAACCAAAACCGCTCATAACATTAGAACAAAAACCTAATAATACACATTCAGATATGGCAAGTAGGAGGAAGTACTCATTTTCAGTTTGTGCTTCATTTGGAATGATCAGTTTCCATTACAGCTAAATCTAAGATAGGAAGATAATTGAGGAATGGACTACATCAGTAAAGTATCTGCAATGTTCTACAGGAATTGAAAGGGCCATGTGGTTTTTTAGATCACACATAACAAGTGATTAATTTCCTCATTGTGTGATGCTAAGCATCGAAAGCACCGTGCGGGGATAAGGCATGATTGATGAATAATTGCAAGTGACTCCCATTACATATTAGTTTCATTCTGCTAGTCAAGGGTGCTAAGCTCTGATCCCTATTGCCAACAGAACAGAAAGCAACATCTCCGTAAATTCTTGTACTGCAAATTTTCAGCTAATCAGCTAAAGATCTCCTGTTATTAGTAGAACAATATTTTAGCACGGGTTTGTACCTGTATGCCGATCCCTCGTGAATATTAAACTTACATTTTTATGTTGTTTGTGCATAGAAATGATGGTCAATGTAAGAATAATGCAGGTGATATAAGCTGAAACTTTGATACAAACAAGAAAACTAAGCTAGAAGCCTGGAAATGAACCAGGATGAGTTGTGTTAAATACCTGCTCATCTGAATATCTTTCCGAATTTGATGATATTGACCCGGAGCTATCAGTCTCCCCAGGGCTCCTCTCTGAAGACTTTCTCTTCCACAACCATTTTTTCTTATCCATCTCAATGACCTAATTAATCCATCAAAAGATCAAAGAATTGTCGCACCTGCACAATAGTCCAACCAGAGAACAAGAGATTATTAAGCCTTGACTAAACCGGAGCTAAAAATCTCAACATTTAACAATGCTAGCTAAGTTCTACTGGTAGCTCCAGTGCTCCACAGATCCAATAGAACACAAATTTATCCACCTAATGAACAAAAGGCATGGGCTTCACATTTCTCAATTTTGCTTCAAATCCACTCAACAACAGAAAAGCAAATATTTTAATCTGGATTCTTTTAAAGAAACAACTACAAGACTTCTTTTCTTGAAAGAGGACTGACTAAACTCCAGAGAATCAATAACCCGCATTGCTCAGCAAAAATGTTGCAACAACCCATATGTTGAAAGTAAATTAAGAAAAATCTCAAAAAATTCCCGCCACTGAAATCTCTTACAAACTCTAGAAAGCTAATAAAACAGTTAAAGCATAAGCACTGATTGAAACTCAGCTAAATCCCACAAAAGTAAATCCAAACTGATGACCCCTTTTTCCTTCCTAATTTAAAATACACATTCATTTCTTACAGAGCGTTAACAAGTCCCAAAAAAAAGAACAAAAACACAAAAAACAAACAAAACAAAAAATGAAGGCAAATAAAAGGGAAGACAATAGACCTTCATCTATACCTTTCAATTACGGGAACCCAAAAGGGCTAAAACAAGATTAAAGCACCACAAAGCAAATGTGGGTCTGTTTGAGTTATATCAGATTTCAGATTGAGAAGACCTTGTACTGAAATGAATATAGACTGAGCTGTGGGAATGTCAGTTAAATATTCACAGAACAACCCATGAATAAATCCAAGTTCTAGCAGCTGAGAGGATCGATATTAGTTTTTATCTTTATTTATCGCTGTAAGAAATTTTAAGATTGGACCAGAAGCATGTGATGGGGACTGGTTAAAGGGCAGGAGCGTGGAACTAGAATACCCTTTTCAGCTTTCCAAGTTTTTTATTTTTGGATTTATTATGTAGTAGTAATATTTTAATTCTGGTATTTTTGAACTTCTTCCCGCCCATCGATTATGTCAAATTTATTATTCGGGAGATCATATGAATTGGTCCAATAAACTCAACAAGTTTTCCAACCTTTTTTTTTCCATTTATCTATATACTAAAACAGCAGCCCTTAAGGCAGGTATTCCCGCTCATTTTTTACTTCCCTATCTACGTGTCTTCTCCTGGTGAATTTGAATCCCACCAAAACTCCCTTCCGCTGCAGTGTCAATTCGCGATAATTTTGATTTATTTTTATTTTCTACCTTCCTTCCTTAACTTTTATTGTAATATTTATTTATTTTCATTTTCCCACTTACATTGATTCTCGTAGTCAACATGCGCACCACCAAATTCTAATAATCAGTTAAATAATACAGTGTACTCACCTATTTCAACGCACTGCCAAGAACAGTTGCAGCCTAAAAATTTTGAAGACTTCCAACGCAAAACCCAATTGAAAATATACAAACAAATGAAACAATGAATCTTTCACGACAATTTTCTCCCAATCTGAATTTTTATAAATAAAAGTCCCTCACTGTTGAAACTCCACCCTATTCTTCCTCCTTTGCCCACTTCACGTCGTCATCGTCGTCCTCCCCTCTCTCTGTTCTATCACCTCCAACCACAAAAATGGCTTTCTAAACAACTATTACCATCAATTAGGCTAATAATTGGAGATCTAATATTCTTCTTATCAGCGGTGGCCAATTTGTGCAGTTCGTGTGGGTGGTTTACTAATTGCGCCACAAGATATGGTCGATCGATGTTTACTCTTTGTATTGTTCTTCGTACCAGTTTGATACGACTTTTGTTTTGGCTTCTAAAATATTCCTTTTTATGTGTCGAGTGTCCTTTTAGTTATCTTCTTTTAATTTGATTAGTTTTTTTTTTTATTATTTATGTTCAAGCATTTGCAGATACTTCTACATTGTTGATGCTTGTGAGGCTGATGCAGTGACGAGACTCAATGGAAACTCATGTGAACGAGGGAAAGACGGAGAAGAAATTGCAACTTGAATTTGGCTGTAAGAAATCTTCTTTTTTGTGCGCTCTTCCTACTCTTAATTTACTCAAGCATTTTTTAAAATTACTGATAATTGGTTGCGCTAATTTCTATAGAAAAAATAAACCCTGATGAAAAAAAGTTTAAAGAAGATTTGAAGCTGAAACATTTGGAAGAGAAACAGCTTGAAGGGAAAATTGCAGCAGGAAGTTTGCTAAGCCAGAAGTTTGCAAATGCTTATGAATTCATTAGTCTATGTTTTTTATTGAATGATGCTGGTAATGCCCCTATAGTTCGTTAACTTTATTTAGATCAGATCTAAAGTGAAAATTGAAAAGTTTAAGCCAAATTTATAAAGTGAGGGGGTTTAATTTTTCTATGATGAACGTTAATTCTGTTTTAGTATATGTTTTGTTTTGTACTTTTATTTTTCTTGCAAAAACCAAGCAATTTTCTAAAATTTTTTTTATGCGGCTCCTACTTCATATATATAAAATGAACCACAATATTTAACACATTCTTCTTTAAATATGCAAGTTTTACATATTTATGCTCCCTCCTTTCAATTTCTTCACATTGATGCTGTCATCTTATCCATCTTGTGATTTTGTCTCTCTGGAATCAGGTTTTTCTTGAAGCTACGGTAGAGACAACACAAGCAGAGTTTTATCGCTACCATCCAACATCAAGTGAGACTTCAGTCTACAGAGCAAGGATATATACAAAGAGGAGGAGTGAAATTTGTTTCTCACTATTGTGATTTCATTTAGTGTTCTTTACAAATGTTAGTTCCTCCAACCCAATATCAAGTTACTCTGTTGGTAGTTCATTGAAGATAAGTTGCAAGTGGCATTTGATTATTTATGCTATGGAGTAGTGAAAGTGTGGATCCTCAACCATCAATTTTGGTACATTAACAGGAAATTGCTAGGGAATGCACACTTTTATTATGGAACTCCTTAACTGGACCGAATTGTCTACATCATAGTGGCGTGCAGTTTTCTGCTCTAACAATCTCTTCTGTGCATTGTTATCAATGCTTATGTCCAGCAAGATCCAGTAAAGACCATACATTTACTCTGGTGAGAAGCTGTGGATGCTGTTGACAACAATTTGATGTACCTCTTTAAAGGAAATATAATCGTTGTTGTTTTCATCTCTTGATATTACTATTTAAAAGGGATTGAAAATCTGCAATTGGGTTTAGATTATAGGTTGGCTCATTTGAAATGATCTTTAGATATGATAAGACTATAATTTCTTTGCCCTGGTTTCTTTGTATGAGTTCATTTTATCTTTTCCAAATTATGCACACATTTCGTCAATGTAACAAGTTTGAGGTTTTGTCGTTTCTAAAAAAATCCAAAAGTATAGTGTGAAATATTTATTAACGTTGTCTTTGTTGGGCTTCTAAATTTGCTTTAGTCCTATGTTTTTGGTTGTTTACTTGTGGTGGTTGTTGGTCTGTTTTTAATTACTGTACTGAGATATCATTTTCATCTACTTATTGTACGTAGATTGTGCTGATTCATTTATTGTAAACTAAATCTATAGATCTTAATTGGATTTTGTTCCTTCTTTGTTCTTTTGCTAATGTAGTCTACTCCACTGGGAAGATTTTTTTTTTACCAGAAAGAGGTAGGAAAACTTTTTGGAAGTAGTACCTTTGAATTTCGAGGTGCATTGTTGATTTTGTGAGTTGCAGCAAGACTCAACTATGCGAGAAGGTTTGTCCCTCAACTCAATTGAAGTGCAAATGTGCTATGATCTGAATAGTTTATGCTCTTTATTTTGTACATATAACAGAATAAAAAGAGAATTGTTGATGCTCTTTATTTTTGGAAAGTTTCCTGCCCAGTTCCCCCTCCATGTACACGTGTCCTCATGTCATTCATTCCATTCTCGCCTAAACTTGCACATGTTGACGTGTAATTTGTGGTGATTTTGATTTATTCTTTTTCTGATTCCCCTCTTTAGCTTGGATTACTGCATTTTCTTGGTTCATGTTAGTTTGCTTGGGTAATATATTTTGACCGAAGATTGTTTGATGTTTCTGTTGGTGGAGTTAGAATTTTATAGCTGGAATAAGGATGTTTATTTCTATGAATCTATACTAATAAATCTTGTAGATCCTCAAGCAGCTGAAAGGATTTGCACTAATAGTAAATGCTCCAGCGAATTTGTAACATACTCCAGCAAAATATCTATTTTGCTGCTTGATGAATTTTCTCTTTCAGAGAAAAACTGAGAGCCGGTTATTAGGACACTAAATATATCAAACAGGCGGATTATCCAAGCAAAATTTAGTTTATTTTATCAGTGTTATTTTATTTGGCAGTTGTCCAGTTTTTTTCTTGCTTCTTTCCATTCCCAATATTACTGAGTTAGTAGCCTTGCAAATCAGTCCATCAGTTGCATGTTTTACCCCTAAAACCTTCAAGACATGGTTCAAAGAATCCCACTGGAGGTAACTGGAACTTTGAGAAAGAAATTTTTCGTATTTAATTGTGAAGTGTGTAGCTTTGAACATATTTAATGCATCTTGATTATGTTAACCAGTAGACTACCATTAACCAACAAATGTTTATTAAGAACATTTATGGAACACATTAACGGGAATGTATACACAACTTGTAATTGCTGTGTTGTTTTCATGTGTCCTCTTCATAAAATTATCAATTCTTTTATGTTTTGGGTTTCGCCTAAATGTCCCTACATCTGGGAGGTAAAATGAATGTTGTTTTTGAAGATTAACATTGGCTTTGAAGCCTTTTAAGAGCCAATGATTTTTCTTAATTTTTCTTCTGATTTTATAACGTGGAACACAATCTAATAATGAATACATGCTTCACTTACTTTAATTTCGTTTGATGCAGTACATTGCGTTGGGACCATTTAGATAATAATCCAATCAAAAATTTGTTGTTGGTTTTTGATAAAATGAAGTTGATTGAGATTTGGGGAAAATAAATGTGCAATAAGCTTTAGTTACTGAGCATGAAAACTTTATGATTCCTGGTTTAGGTAGAATGCTGTCTGATTGGCAAAATTAAATTTATAACCAATAAATCAATACAAACCTTGACCAGGGTTATTGCAGCAGATTTAATTGGCCTATAACCATCTTGGACAATGCTAGAATAGAAGGAGCCCACAGGTCCTTAAATTTTGCTGCAACTCAGTCTGTTGTATGAAATCAAGATGATTGCAATAAGTTTGTATTTGATGAGAGGAATGCCTTGAGTAGAGTTTTATGCCATAAGGTATAAGGTTGTATTTGATACCTACTGCATGCCTGCCAAAAGTATCCAAGATGGCTTTGATTTTTTTTCTTGAATGATCTTCCTTTGGTTTGCAATGTTTCTATTTAATATTCGTCATTTTCGTTTGAATTTGATCAATATTGTATTTTGTTTGAGGGCCTCTTTTTGTGTAGTTCCATGTTTGAAGATGTTCCGCAATGTTCTGCTTACATTGAAATAATTTATGTTTAGCTGGTGGATAAAGATCCAAAAAAGGGAGGCAGGAAGAAAAAAGA